AATCCCACCACAGCTCTCCCAGTCCTCCCAGTGCATCCCTGTGGAGCTGGGTCACCCATGATGCTGCCGGTCCATGCCCTGCCTCCCTGCCCTCCTTGGAGCACTTGATGCCCAGACTTCTTTCAATTCCCTGGGTCTTAAGCATATGCTTGCAGTTAATCCTGTGCTTACATTTTATCCCGAATAGGAAGAATTGGGGTCTCTGGGCAAATTCTCCTGCTGTTCAAGGCAGCTGAAGGGCTCCCTCTAATTCAACCGAGCAGTAATCCTCTCTGTCTGCCCTGCTCTCCTCCTCCTCCTTCTCCACCCTTGCTCAGTTCTTTCCTCTCCTCCTCCTCCTCGAGTGTTTTTGAGGTTTTGCTCTTTTCCCCTTCTTTCCTTCCTTCCCACATCCCGGGGAATCAGTGGGAAACCACCCAATTTCCAGGGCAAAGGAGACCTGAGTGCTTCCCAAGGGTGTCCTCCCCCTCCCTGCTCCTGCAGCACAAGTGCGTAAGGAGCCACCTGGGAGCGCAGGGAATTATAATCTGCGCAGGAAATTCTCACCCACCCAGCGAGGGGCTGCCCCAGGCAGGCGCAGGCACGTCAGGCAGGGGGGGTACAGCCGTGAAATGGAGTGTGAATGTGGGGTGGGAGGTGTGGGATGGAGGGGACGGGCACCCACTCAAATCCCAGCACGGCAGCTGCCGGCTGGCGCTTGCTGGGAGAAATGTTTGCCAACCAGAGAAGGCATTTCTTCACATTTCTGTAATTAGAGCCGCACTGCAAACACAGCCAGCGAGGGAGAGACGGGGCTCGCGTGGTCCCCAAAGCTGCGTGCAGACACCAGGGCTGTCCCCAGACAGGTTCGGGTGTCCCGGCTGCCTGGCACGGTCCGTGCCCCTGCTTTGCCCTTCACTTTTAGAGGATGCTCCAGGGATGTGACAGGGGAGGGAGGAATTGAGGCTGTGAATGGCTTTTGCAGGGGGAATGAAGCTCCTTGTCCTGGCTCCCTTCTCTGCCCCACCACTCCAAATCCTGATGTATTTTTCCAGGCTTTCGCTGCTGTACTGTTTGTTTGCCAAGTATAAAAAAAAAAACCCTAACCACCCAAACCAAACAATGGTTAAATGTGCAGCCAAAATTAACCCTCATCAGCCTGGGCTTTCCGCCACGCCATCCCAGGGGAGGCCCGATGGGAGGCCCCAAACCTGGGAAGGACTCGGTGACATTAAAATCAAGTCATGGCCATTGTTTCCGGACAAGAGCCGTTTCCCACTTGGAAGCACCAGGAAAAGCCATGGGGACTTGGCTCCGGAATGTGTCACGCTCGGTTCACAGCAGCCACGCTGGCATCCTGCCCGTCCTCACCGCTCGGCGGGGGAAACTGAGGCACAGGGCAGGCTCATGACTCACCCGCAGTCCTTAGGGCTGGGAGGATGGATGGGGTGAGCAGGCGGCTGCAATAACTCACGGCGATGCTGCAGGGAAGGGCAGGATGCGGCCGTGGGAGGGGGGTGCTGGCAGCGGTTGCAGCGGGGCTGTTTGGCTGGAAACCTCCTGGGCATGGGGGGAGAGGAGCTGAGGGCCAAGGGCTTGGCCACACGCTCCCCCCATCATTCAGGGCTGCAGCACTGTCAGTCTGCTGCAATTGTCTCCCCGCCGCCTGCGAGGCCTCGGCGGGGACGGTGTCAGCTCGATGGGGAGCCCCGAGGGGTGGGGGCTGTCCCCACCAGCATGGGGGAGACATGGGCAGAGCCTGCTTTGGGGTCCTGCTGCTGAGGCGATCCAAGGAAGCGGGACAGGGGGATGCTACCCACGCTAGAGGGGGGTGGAATTTGTGGGGCTGGGGGGGAGGTCAGCCCGGCTCGCACCCCCGGGGGCCTGGTGCTTGGTGGAGGATGGAGGGGACGTCAGAAGGGTGGGGGTGTCATTTGGGTTGGATCTGGCCCCTGTCCCCCTTGGTAGGGAATTCTAGACAAGCCACAGGGCTGAGGGGAGTCTGAGCTTGCTTAGGAGGGAACAACTTCGGGGTCTCCCACTTGCCCCTCACTCCCAAATTCACCTTTACCCCCCCTCAGCCTTGCTCAAGCAGCGGGGAGGGAAGGATGGCGCCGGCCAGGGGCTGAAGCCACGGGCAGGGAGCTGGCAGGGATGGGGAGTGCCCGGTCCCTACCACTGCTCACCTCATCCCTGTGACACGTCTGTCCCCTGCCTCCCCCCATCTCCCCCACCTGGGGTGGCCCCTGCTGATGGCCCCTGGCTGCTGCCAAGCTGTGGCTGCGTATTTCCAGGCGCTCCTTGTCCCCGGGGAAGGGGAATGTGAGGAACGCAGCCCTGTGCACCCTGCCTGCTCCTGCCCGGCCACCCGCCGGCTAAGAATAGACCCGGCTTGGCTGGGCCCCCGCCAGCACCGAGGGGCCGCGGGGTGTGGGAACCCCCCCCAACCACCTTTCTGTGGCGGATAATGAACCTAAAAAAAAAAAAAAAGGAAAATGAGTTTCTGTGGTGCCCAAAGGGTCCCTGAGCCAGCGAAGGGAATCCAGGGTGTTTCTTACTTTGAATTCATCTGATTTTAAAGCAAATCTCCTCTCCGGGAGCCTGGCGCACGGGCAGGGTGGTGCAGGGCAGCCCCGGGTACCTGCTGCTTCCTGAGCGCCCCGTCAAGGAGATATGTGAATTGGGGGGAAATTGTTCCCTTTTTTCTGCTTTTATGTTTGTTGGGGGTTTTGGTTTTGGGGTTTTTTTCTTTCTTTTTTTTTTTCTCTTTAGGGAGTAATTTCACTAAGCCTCCTAATTTCAGCAGAAATCATGATGCAGGAGCCAGAAGGCAGCAAAATCTCTCCAGATGTTGTCGCAACAGGGAAGGGAAATCATCCTCGGTTTAAAGGTATCTTGTAAAACGTCACTGCCCACCCACAGGCCTTCACTGCCCCGAAACCTTCACCTGCCCCCCCACCATGGCCCAGCAGCTCCATTTAAGCTCTTGAACCCCCAGCCAGGCTGGACCTTGTGCCCAGCCCCATCTCCTGGGGGGACCTTGAACCTGGGTTGAAGGTAACCCGGTGTCCACCCCGGTCTTCTGGGTGGACGGTGGCCTGGGGTTGTCTGAGCAGGAGGCCACAGCTCAGTGCACCCATCACCCACCCTTGTAGCTGTGTCCAGTGTCCATTCCAGGACAGAGTCAGCTCCTACGTGGATTCTCTGATGTCTAATTAGGGCTGAGCTTGTGTTGCAGTCCCTGAGTGAGTGTGTTTAGTGTGGCTCATTTTTTTTCCTTTCTCTTTTTTCTTTTTTCTCTTTCCCCCCCCCCCTCTTTTTTCCCTC